ATTAGAATGCAATTGGAAGTCGGAGTGAAAAATGTCATCAATACGAGTTTGAAAGAAGAAAGTATTGCTTCCACCACTTTACATTAAACTTGGTTTGATCAAACAGTTTGTAAAGGCATTTCGACTTGACCAACGGTGATTATTTCATGTTTAGATATCGAGGTCGTGATTTATATAGGTTTTAAGCATGTAAAAAAATCGTAAGGACACAAAAAATTACTTTCTAAGATAAAAGTCAATTCAAAAATCACGCTTTTTTTGTTTTTTTTCGATTTTCCATGCTTTAATATTGTCTGAGGTATTTTTAACCAACACCATCGAAAAGAGCATCGTTAAAAACATAGAAACACTGGTTAATTATCGAATATTTTTTCGTCGCACTCATTACGTGGCAAGGGTTCAAATGGAAATGTGTTCTCTGAGCATTTATGGGTTAATGTGACGTGGTGTATACCATATAATTATCGTTTTTTATTACTTTTAAGACAATTACAACAAATATTAAAAATTTTAAAAAAAAAAATTTCGCAGACCTGTATAATTGTTACATTTTTATCAGTACAATAGAACTGATAAAACTATTATACAAATATTGGTTATATAATAAAAAGTTTTATAAAAACAAGGACTTTACCTACGCAACCCTAAACAATTAATTGTAATATCATTTAAAAGCAGTAAAATAAATTTTATATAAGTAAAATGTCCTATTATTTACTGCACTGACCAAAAAAATGGTCTAGCATTAACAATTATTAGGTTGTCCTTGCAATATTAGGTCTAAAATCATTTTCAGAAATACTAATCTCGATTTGCGTTAAAAATATTTAACCCTTGTTAGTTTATAAACTGTTTTCGTAAAGTTTAAATTTATACTTTCCTTCTTTACGAAGAAGTTACGCAAGAAAACGCAAAACTTCCTATAAAACATATAAAAAGAAGAACCAAACTAAAACGTTGGTTAAAAAACCACAAAATTTATAGCAACATGTTATCCTGTCTTGGCAAAATTTACACACATCCGTTAAAAGAGAAAAGTAGACGCGTGATTGATCCATACAAATCAGATAGGATTGTGTTCGGTTATGCATAGGAGACTTGGAAACGACGATAGCTACACAATCCATGGACAAGGTAAACAGTCATCCCTTACATGGTAAAATGCGTTAAGAAGATGTCGATACGGACGGAATTTAGTTCGAAACGGTTAGATACCTACCTATATTTATTAGAGACCTTTTTTGAGATACAAACGATATAGCTGAGCTATCGTTTCAAAATTGTATCAAAACCAGCCCAGAGGAAATTTACATCAGAACAATAGGTAATTACACCAGTACCGTGGCGAACCTGAAGGGAACATTTTTTAAATTAATATACAATTTTGTTTCAAATTCTTTAAAATAATCCTAATATATTATAAATGCGAATGTGAATTTGGTTGTTTGTTACCATTTCATACTTTAAATACTCCACCAATCATTATAAAATTTTGGTGAAATATTGTTAGAAGTACAGAAAAGGAAATAGGGTGCTTTTTATCCAGAAAAAATAGTGATTTCCCGAGGGATTGACACGTATTTACGACATCAACGCAAGCGAAGCCGCCGGTAAAACCTATTCAAAAAAAATGCTCCTCTCGAAGATTAGAATAATTAATTTCATATGGTCGTCGATAATCATTGACAGTTTTCATCCAAAAAAAAATACTGTTCCCAAGGGTTAGAAAAATTAGTTTTATTAACGCATCAACGCGAGTGAAGCCGAAGGTAAAACACCTATCATGAAATTTTGAACACATATTGATACAGAAAAGGACATAGGACACTTTTTATCCAGAAATAAAATACTGTTCTCGAGAGATAAAAAAATTAATTTTATGTAGTCGTCGGTGATCTTCAGCAGGGGCGGCATTAACCACTGCGAGGCTCCAGGCGCGTAGATCTTTTCGAGGCCCTTGTCCTTGTGGAATTAATTTTAATGAGTGGAATTAATTTTACTTGACAAAGTTATTAATAAATAAATTTAGAATTTCAAAATTGTTTATTTGAAATTAACAAGAACTAATAATAAATGCAAAGATTAATTATTATTTAAAAGAATCAAGGATTCAGAAATGATACTTGCAGCTTTCTTGAGTCTCAGAAATTCAAATAAATATTAGTACTATTGGTACCATTAGTACCTAATATTTTCTAATTGGAAAATTACGCGAGAACGCGAGGCCCCTGCAAGAGCGAGGCTCGCCACCCCCAAAAGCCGCCCCTGAAGTTTAATGGAACTTTTTCGCTGAATATTAATAACTTACTTGCGTTAATAATCGTTTTCCATTTGATTTTTTTTGAAAATTATTGTATGAGATCTGTATATAGTAAATTTATAGTAAAAATTTGTTAGTAACAGCAATTATCTTTTTTTTCAGAATAAAAAATTCTGGATCTGCTGGTAAGTTCATAACTTTAATAAATTATAATATATATTTAAGTAAAAAAAGTAAATTTAACCGTTATTACGATACACAACTTACTCCATTTTGTGTGTAATCATAGTAACAAAAGCTTGGAAAATAAGTAAAAACCCACGGGACTGATGAGTGTTGTGAAGACATCGCATTTTGTTTTTCCTTATTGTACATAAAAAAAAAACTCAACCGTTTCATATACGGTGCAATATAAAATAGATTTGCTGATAATTAATGCTAGAGTCTAGTAAACAACATTATTCTCTTGTGGTCTTTTCAAGCTTTTATTTGTTAGACGTGCACCAATGTGACGATAAAGAACTGTGTGTACCTATACGTTAACAAAAACCATCAAATAGAACCGCGTTGTCTCTATGGATACCGTGTAATTTTTATTGAACTGCATGTATCCGACAATGAGAAAAACTTGCATTCAGATGTTCCATGTAATTTCTGATTTTTTACTTGTTTTTCAAACTCATGAATTATTTGCACTTTATGCATTTAATGAAGCAATGTAAAACAAAATTAAATGCAGAACAGATACTTATTACTTATCATTAATTAAATGAAGAGTAAAACATGTAAAAGTTCTGATGTTCTGACAATTATGTATGCGATATGCGTTTAAACTTGTCTATTTAATCCAATTAATATTAATTGATTAATTCAGTAACAGTAAGGCTTCATATTGTTTTTCAAGTTTTTTTTCATTTTAATAAAACAGACTTGAGAATAATGTTTTTGGCAACATACTATCGTAAAATGAAAACTCAGGGGTTAAAAGTATCTTGAATATTTTTAGTCTTTAGTCTTAATTATTATAATAAAAGTTCAAATGTATTTATCCCTGTTTAGTAAAAATCAAGCAGGTAATCTATGTAATTAAGATCATTAATAATATGTCTTAAAGATAATTTAAATTTTTTTATAAAACTTCTATATTAACGTAAATCCGTTGCTTATATTTCGTTTTATTTTAACAACTAATTATTATTAACTAAATGTTGGGCAATTAATAAATTTACACGCTAAAAGCGTAAGTTATAAAAGTGATGGTTTATTTATTATTACGAAATTTTAAAGTAATCCTACTACAGAAGTATAATACAGAATTTTTTAATGGTCATTTTTGTAACCGATAGGTAAAATGTTAAAACAATGTCTTAACACTTTCGTAATAATTGCTCTAATAGCTGAAAACATTGCTTCTTCGGCGACAACTGCCACACAGAATACTATCACTTCGAACATGATACGAATAACAGTAGGGTTAGTCTCCCTTAAGTTGATAATTGAAGGGGTACAGTCAACCAATGAACCAATTACATGCAATGTTGATCCTAAAATTATAACAAAATGTTAATCGTTTATAAATAACAATTTTTAATTTTATTCATTTCTTCAAGTAAATTATTTACTACAAATCGACTGCACCCCTTCAATTCTAATTGTAAATACTTAAAAAAAAAAAAAGCTTTTTTGCTGGTAATATTTATCGTATTTCTTGTTTACAATACTTCTAAAGTAATCTAAAGTAATCTTTGGTAATCACAAAAAAATATACATATTTCATATTAAAAAGTGATAATATCAATTAGTAGGTCGTACCTGTTTTACAGACCAGTTTTCAAAGTTTTTGAATTCGTAAGTACCGTTGCACGTTTCGCCAAACCACTTTAGGGGATTTTTACAAGTTTCTTCACTAAAATTTACTCGATATAAGTTCCGAAAAATAGTCCACTTTAACATTTAATAAAACTGAAACATGACTGAAGTCAACTATGATAATCCAAAATTTCTTTTAAATGATAGAAGGTCTACTCAATTGAGTTGCTGGACACGATAGGATTTCGTTTTAATAAACAAAAACCTAACATGAAAAAAATAGGAATAGAAACTGCAACTAGTCCTTAATGTCGTAGAAGAAAAGCTCTATAACAATATTGTACTTTCGTATAATATTTAATATGTCAAATTTATTTTTATTCAGACTCTGAAGAAGGCCATCCTTCACTTCGTTTGACCTTTCGTACGTGTATGCGTCCCCCTATCAGTCCTCCTACTGATAAGGAAATAAGTATAATTACACCCCCAACGTTCCCAAACCCACCCGTATCCAGCAGTCACAATTCCGCCAACGGAGTATGGTCGTGGTTATCCAGAAGACCTTGCACCGAACCGTCTCAGTTGGAGCCCCCATTATCATCCCGTCGGGAGAATCACTACACCCACATGGAGGAACCCTACAACAGCGTCACCGAAGGGATATACGCTGAGGTTGATAGGGACAGTGCCACAGACAGGGACAGTAACAGTCCCGCATACCAAAATTCGGCATATACCGATCCCGATGCTCCCAGTGCTCCAAGTAGTGCGTATTATTCGGACTTGTCAATAACCCCCGTGCCAGAAAGGGCTTACGAAATAGTGGGTTTAGTAACTATGCCCACATGGGACGCTAGCAGTAGCAACAACAATAACAATTGCGGTGAAACAAGTGCAACCAGAAGGCCTACTGCCAGACTGGCAGTTATCAGTGAAAACAGTACTGTACCATCGGACTATGTTTAATATTCTAATCAAATAAAAAACAGAATACGCCAACTAATTTTTTTCCTATAGTTTTGCAAAAACAAAAACTTTTATCTTTTCTCTCACCTGTAAATCTTGTTAAAGTACTTACCTGCATGTTATCAAAAAATAAACCAATTAAAAATAAATTGTCTGATGGTAATTAAGTATTATTAAAAAGGGGAGCTGAAATTTTATTCAAAAGTGTAAATAAGTAATTTTAATTTAATTTAATTTTAATCGTATGCACACAAATGTAAATTTTGTGTATATAAAGTGTATAAATAATAAGCAAGAATTGGTGCTGATTTTTTATAAATATATTATTAATTTTGTGATATAGTATTAATGTCTATAATTGTTTAAGAAGGCAATAAATGTCTATTTTATTTATAAACAAGAAACAATTTAAATTCCTGAAAGATGTAATTATGATCCTAAAAATTCAATGTTTTTGATACTACTGTCATTAACTTACGGTGAGAAACTAAAAATTCATATATATTTAATTATGTAAGTTGAAATAAAATATTTTCTCTTTGTTCAGGACTCCCAAAGTAGCTACAGCAGGGTGTCAATCAAAAAGCCCAAAGCAACTTGCAATAATTATAACGTTGTGGCTGTGAATGAAGACGACACAAGTGATTCAGGGAGAATAGGGGGACACAACCATCCCCCAAATCTTCATCTTCCTATCCTCACCCTCTTTAATGTCTTTAACGAACATATATTTACTTTTAAATATATACATTGTATATAACTGAACTAGTAATTACTTTAGGTGTTACTTATAAAAATTTAACCGCAAATAGACTCAGTAATTGTAATTAAATATTTAATTATTAAACAATCAACATCCATTGTATCTAAATATGTTCTTTATTCAGATTGTGTTTGTTGCACAAATTGTACTATGTATTGTGAACGTTAATTCTTTATTGTAATTATTTAATTATTGTTAAACCGAGCCAGGAAAATGACTATTACAAATGAACCCTTGCCAAATTTAAATAAATGATTTTTTTAAGTGTATGTCTTTTATTATTGTATTATTGCCTCTGATAGGTAATATTTTATTAAATTTTGCATGAGCGCCATCAATTAGAAGAAAACGAAAGTGTTTGAACTGCCTGCGTTAGATAAAACAGAAATCTGTAAAAACAATTACAGAAATTTGCAAATTTAATTCGCAACGAATTTCAGAATTCGTTAAAAACGACAGTACAAAAGTACAGGAATCTGTAAATCCAGGCGTCAATGAATTTATGAATCTTAAATTCGAGAATTTTTAATCATGTCCGGCGCCTCCACCAAAATTAAAAATACCCCAAGCGACTTATGCTCTCCTAATACAAAAATCGGAAATTTTAGAAATTTTGATTTTGCAACATGATGACCGGCGCCTCCACCAAAACTTTTTTTTCAAAATTTTTAATCATGTCCGGCGCCTCCACCAAAATTAAAAATATCCCAAGCAACTTATGCTCTCCTAATACAAAAATCGGAAATTTTAGAANTTATACATTTTTTTAAAGACAAAATTAGATAAGAAAAATGCATAGATCCACTTAGAAAGATTTTAACAATATAAATGGATAAAAACATGTAAAAGAATAATACTTCATCAAATTTTAAGGCGACTGCGATGGTCAAGTCAATCATCTCCTACAGGAAGGAAAATCTGTAACAAAAGGAAAACACTTTAAAAAACATATTATTTCGACATACTTAATTTGTCTTCCCAAAAACATGCCTCATTTATGAGTAGGATTTGTTAGATTTCAAAATTATGACTTTCAGAAATGGCAAAATTACAGGTTCAAAATGGAGGGTAAAGGGTGCAGTTACAAATAAACTGATTTTACAAATTTTGTCCCCGTCCCCTACAAACAAAATTATCAAAATCTGACTCACCCAAATTACAAACTTTTGGGTTCAAAGGGAAGAGTAGAGAACCTTTACAATAATCCTTACTTTTATCTGTGACATAAAAAGAAATTCCCAAAATGTAATAAAGGAGACTGTGAAAACTATGCAAATTACAATGCCTACAACTTTTACCATCAAAAACTAAAAAGGGATTTATGATAGCTTAAATACAAATTAATTATAATTATAAATACCGATATGTATTTTATAATGGATTTTAGTCGAATATCTGGAAGATTAACTAGCAAAACAGATATGAGCAGACATTGAAAACCTTGTGAAATTAATTGAAAACATTCACCTAAACATTATTGTAGGCAAATTTTTTAAATCCCAAACTAAACAAAATAACTATCAGGCTATTTATTTCAATTAAAATATAACTTGTCCATCTCACAAAAATTTTTAGTCCAGACCTGTCGCACAAACGAAAGGTCACCTCTGACAATGGATCAATATTATATTTATTCGCAGAAACTGAATGTCAATATAGGCAACCCTAAATATTCTCTCTAAAGTTCAAAAAGACTTGATGTAAATAACGTTATTTTATCATTTTCGTCAAAATAAAAATCGAATGTCATTAATTTATATATTTATAACTTTTAATCGAACTCATTAATTTCATTTTCCAGGTCAATTTACTCTATTTATTAATTTAAGAAGTTTATTAGCTGTTACAAAGCTTTATAAGTCCTGGAACTGATTAATTGATTTGATTTATGAATTTAATAATTTCTAATTAGGCTGAGAACTTTCATTTTACAAGTTTACAATTGCTTTATTTAAATTTACTTTCATTACCATNTTTTTTTTTTTTTTCTATTCGACAGTTTTGAACAAAAAACATAAGGTAATACGGGAAATAAATTATAGAAAATTAAGCAATTCAGTTAAAAGGCTAATAGTGGTTTTTAATAAAATTGGAATGTGTAAATTGTTTGAGAAATTTTAGCAAATTGTTTTTCTTATATTTGTTTAGCTCTATTTCAATTCAATTTCATTTTTTGTTAATAATTCTTGCATTAGAAAATGATACAGAAATTTTATTTTATTTGCGTCCTCAACTGATCAAAAATTTAGTGCAGCTAATTTTTAATTAGGTTTTACCATGGAGGTTTGCTAACTTTTATGATGACATTTAGCAACAATATGTAGATACTTAACGCTAAAAAAATTAATTAATAATTACCTTTGCTGTAGATACTGATCATCAGGCTGGCAGTTCTGATAAAAGTCGATGCACATACGACGATGCCATTCCACCTCTGCAAGATAATTAATTTTGTTAAAAATATACGTTTGAAAACACCAAAATAAAATAAAAATTGGGTAATTTCTTAAAAAAATAAACTGATGAACAAAATTATACTCTTTTATAAAATATTAAAAATAAAAATTATACTAAATTTTTCGATTCTAGAAAACCCAATTACATTTTTTTGAAGCAATCATTTTTATTCCAGTAAATTTTTGAAAATAAAATACTCACTGGATTGTAAATGTCTATTGCACTAAGGAAAAACACTAGCAGGAGTTTGGCAAATACTAAAAACATTACAACGAATAAGTAATGTTTTGCAGCCAACACTACTGTATGAGCTCCACAGGCAGCTTGTAATCCACCATTTCGCAACACAGCAATAATCACTATTGACCCTGGACATCATTGCAAAAGCTGCACGGTCAGGAATAATGTGTTACATTTTGCAAAATTTGATAAGATATCCCTTAGATACCAATAAAAATGCGTACTTCATCAAAATGAATTAACTACTTTGAATGGATATGCCCCAAAGCTTGTGGTGATAATCACTAAAATAAATAGTACACTTATTACTATCACTAATAAAAAACTGATAAAAACACTTGTATCTACCTTATTCTAAGTTTAGTATTATATTCAGACAAATTACTCAATAGAACATATCTCAATCTCTCTTGTGGTCTTGTAAAATCTCCTGCATAATATTCAAGATTTGCAATTACTAAGTACTGCAAGGGCTGTTGATCTTCAACTTTACTCCAAACTTCAGAAGAATTGCCTACAAAAAAGAAACATGTTTGTATTAGAACCCTACCTTAAAATCAAAAAATTCTTCTTGAATAACCTTTAAAATTTACCTCATAATATTGACAAGTTTCTTCTGGTAGAGTATTCAAAAATATCCGAATTCGATTTCTATCAAGGTCCTATAGCAAAAATGATATATTTATTAATGATAAACAAAAATGATACAAGTAACTTACTGAACAGTAGTCCACTGGACCAGTGATATTAATTTTTCCATTCATATTTCTGTTTTAATAGTGACCTCCTTAGAACTTTTAAATTTACTGAAAACGACAAATAATAAGGCATAACATAACACACATTATACAATAAAATTTACTTATGTCGAAAGTCGTTAATTAGATTCAAAATATCATCTGTCCTATTTTTAGTTGGCATACAATTGTTTGAACTTTGTTTTAAATTTTTCACAAAGGTCTTTTTATCAATCATTTTACTTGCTTTCTTCTTTTCTATTTTAACTAGTTTAACACTTTTTCTAGGTTAGCATAAACATTGACAACATAAAACTATAACTAACCATAACTATTGACAATAGTCATAATTGGCAATACACGGTAAAAGCGCAAATCCATACATATTGGTTTCCATATTACTAAAACTATGGGGTAATCCCAGATAAATATTTAATATACAAGATGTTTCATTTTACTTACTACTTAGGCACTAATTCTTGCAAAACTTTTTAGAAAGAAAATTTAACGAAAAAGTATCTGCTACAAAATCACAATTATTACGTGTTTTTAGCTTACAATGTTTTCCCTTAATGTTTACATAACAATTAAAAAATAAAATATAATTGATTAATTAATTAATTCATATTTACCCTGATTCATGGATAATTGAATTTAAACCTTTTATGATGCTACCTGTAGAGTGAATAAATACAGAGTTTTTTAACTTATCTTTGTAGTTGCTGATAAACTCAATTTTAAATAATTGGTGCATCTTGTTCATACAAATAAAGATAAGTCTCTAATCTGATAGTTCTTGAATATTATAATCGGTATACTGAAAACAGTTTTATTAATCAGTCACAAATAAATGTTCATACAAAGTTGTTACAAAGGTAATGAATAAATTGAAAAAGGTAACACAGATATTTGTTGAAACCACTTAAAAATTAAATCTCAGATTTATAATTAAACAAAAAACTTTTAACGAAAACTTTCATAAGAATCCAAAGAAACACTTGTAAAATAGCAAGGACAAAGTAAAACGCTTGTAATGCTAAACACTTTATGTACAAAAGTAGAAAACAGCAACTGAGGGCAAGGCAAGAGTCAAATCTCTTGGTTTGGATCCTTCTCGAACAATGTGGTATCAGGAACAGTTCGATTTAATATGAATAACATAAATGTTAGTTTACTATAGTAAGGAGAATATATTTACAAGGAGAAAAAAAATGAGGTGCAGTCTCTCCTCTAGTAAATCACATCCTGTTTGAATCTAATCTAGCAAATAAAAACTTATAACAAAATAAATAAACAATAGTGCAAGTCATGTACATTTCTTATCTATTTTAGCACCCTTCTCTTTTGTTTATAATTCTTCAAAATGGAAAAATATGCTAGGTTTTATAATCCAATAATTCGACAAACATCATCCAAAATACCTTTAAAATTTTCAGTAATAAAATACTGACTATTAATTAACTAAAAATGCAAAATTAGTGCAAGATGATTTTCAAAAATACATATTGAGAATATATATTTTTACTGTATCATAAACTTCCAAATCAAGAATTTATTAAAAAGGATCCAATAATATTCATTATAAATCACACATTATTTATCAATTACCAACTTGAAATGATAGAAACTGTGCTTTAATAAGATAAGACATGCTCTTTTTAAAGACTATATCCTATGATTAAAGAAATAAATAAGATTTAATTTAGCGTTAGAAAAGCAACTGTGAATGAATATTATATGAGTTAAAAAAAAGTTTTATGAAATAAATTATATACTTTACATATTTGGCACAAAAGAGCCATCAAAAGAGGCCGAGAAGAAATTACTTAAACAAAATAAATCGGAAACAACAAATAATATTTACACGTTTTATCGACGACTCCAGTTTTGTTTAAGCGTGGTGTTTTTTCCTGTGGTCGTTACCACCTTTTAAACATCCTCTATCACATACAGACTATTTACACAGACTTACTTGCGTTTATAAGACAACAGTTATTAGCGAGCTTCATTTTTGTACATTACATGTGAAAGTTGTAGAGTGAGAGACTGCACTGAGTAGAGAGGAGGGCAACAAACAAAGTAATTGTGATATTTAGAGTTGAGAAAAAGAACTGCATCAGCCAATAATAAAAAGGGCCGCGACAGCAGACAACAAATAATAAAAACAGCAAAAAACTGTTACTCAAGTTTATGTTGATCATAATGACGATGAGAAAGGAGCAAGAAAGACACATCTTTTGGGTCCGTTAGCTGATGCTACAATAGAAGTTGAGCCACTGCATTTGCTGATATTGTCGAGGTTGAATGTCGTCTTCAATAAGATGACAACCATGTCAGTCCACACAAGGCTCTTCTGATTTGTTACTAGGGTCCAGGTAAATTTTAAGACCTCGTTCCCTCCTTAACGAATACGACGACTTTGTACTAAATTTACCTAAGCGAACGTTTTCTTTTTTAGTGATTTCCGCTTTTTCTTCTGCTGTCAACTCCTTTAAAGTTTCTCTACTATCTCTGAAATGAAAAGAAAAAACGATCATAATAATATAATTAATGTTTACACTTATTAACGTGATTTACCTGTAAAAAAACACGCTTCCATCTTCATTAACTTGAACAGGCCAGTTCTCCAAACTAGTTACATCTGGATTCCAGTAGAGTTCCGAGTCCACCTCAAGAACATTCATATCACAGGGGAAGTTATGTTTCGGATGCGTAACTTCGATAAATTCGGGAGGTATGTGTGACTCCTCGGCCAGTTTATTCTTTAACTCGGCCATCGTCGGCGTATCGAGCACCACCTCTTGGAAAGGGCATAAAGTCAATGTGCTTGGACACCAACGTCGCACGAAAAGGCACAACTGGTCACTGCTGGTCACCTTCTCAGGCTCTCCTATGTCTTGTATGAACATTTCCCAATTGTTTGTAATCGGGATGTCGACTCCAAATTTTTGGTCATCAAGGTATACCTTTTTAATAAAAACCGCCCAATTTTAAAATAACAAACTAATAGATAATATTTACCTTTTCAGGCGATTTCCAGTTCTTCTTCCTTAATCGACACGTGTAATAATTTAAGTCAAGCATATGTTGTTTCTTTGCAGCCATGACAATCTTCTTTTTCGCACTTGCAACCGTCTGTCCTTTGGCTACCACCCACTCAAATAGGAACTCCAAGGGTACACCGCTTTCTGGTGTCAATCTGAACACTTTACCACTGTATTCGTCTTTTTTAAGGACTCTACCCAATTTCAGCATCAAACGTTCACCATCTTTGAGAGTACTGAGTGATTCATACAATCGATTCCACTCCACCTCGTTGGGGCACTGTCGATACACTTTAAAATATTCTATTGACACCCCCAAAATCGGTTCCATGTTCTTTTTAAACCGTGCTAAGGTTATACGTTTATCAGCTTGTACTCGACACCAACGTTGTTCCTCGCGATGTTCCGAGTTCGAGGACGACGATGAGGGTGAGGTATCCAAGGGTATGGCGTTTGAAGGTGAAGTGGCAGTTGAATGAGTTAAAATCGGGTTGTTATTTGTGACGATCGTGGCTTTAAAATAGTAACTGGCAGACAACTGGAAATCGCTTGGAGACTCGTCGTCCCAATTCATCTCTTCAGCAGGGAGCGAGAATATGTCGTGATTGTAAAGATCTTCGGCAGGATCATTTGGAGAGGACATGTGCTGATCCGCAGGGGAATTGGAACTACTTGATAACAAGCCTATGCAATCACCTGCATTATAAAAAAAAATATTTACAAAATCAATTCTTTTATAAAAATACTTATTCAAGCAGGAACTTAATGTCGCTAAAGATAGAATTCAACTATAAACAGATACTTCTAAAAATTGCCACAAAATAAACTTAATAAGAATGTTTTATACAAATGATTATTAAACACGAAAGCAAGACTTATTGTACCAGGTGCGTCGCCGACAAGGGTCCGATCGCTATCACTTAAGCTGCTATCTTCACTATTACTTTGATCACCAAATGGTTCCGAAGCACCGCTCACTGAGGCGGCCGCAGAGGCTCCCAGTTGAGGAGAAGAATTCTGTATGTCATTGTTTACTATCCCATTATTTCCATCACCACTAGCTACCAAATCTATTTTATCCGTGTTTCGTATTGAATCAAGCGAAGGTATGAACAAGCACTCCAAGGTACCTTAAAAATAATAAATATTACAATAGTTTATATTTTAAAATTTTATATTTTAAGGACAGTGCCACAGACAGGGACAGTAACAGTCCCGCATACCAAAATTCGGCATATACCGATCCCGATGCTCCCAGTGCTCCAAGTAGTGCGTATTATTCGGACTTGTCAATAACCCCCGTGCCAGAAAGGGCTTACGAAATAGTGGGTTTAGTAACTATGCCCACATGGGACGCTAGCAGTAGCAACAACAATAACAATTGCGGTGAAACAAGTGCAANAAAAAACTTCAAAAAATATGTACTATACATAATGACAGAGAAGAAAAATATATTATATGTATATTATTTCAATATTTTTTACTCATACTAAATATTAATAAAAAACTCACTGGGATCAGTGTTTGGCAGTTGAACATGTAACGTAATAAGGTATGAAAACTCCTCGATAATCTTATACAGCTTAGACTGTTCAAAAGTTTTTTCGGGATCATCATCAAACCCATTGGACACGTAAAGTTTGTAATGAAAATAGGTAGGATCGAATTGCACCAAGCTTTCATATCTATCCAGATGACAAAGCTGATTCCTTTCTGATCTCCACACCAACTGCAAAAATTAATTAACAGTCACACATCCCATTCGTCTATCCCATCAATATTAATCCTACCGTCATTTTGCCTATGTCCATATTAAAATTATCAGCTACACGTGTATAAAGGTCCCTTACATAGTCGCCTTTGTGAATGCGGAAATTAACAGGTCCATCTACTTCTTCATCCTCCATATTAACCATATATAGTTTTACGGTTACGCCTCCTGGCCTATAGCTTTGGAATTTTGTACCTTTAAAGTTTAAAGGACTATTACATAAATTGTCCTTTATTTATATAATTTTCAAAATGTAAGCGTACGTTTATTTATTTATTATACCTATATTTAAAAATTTACTAGTTATCATTACCAGGTTCTTTTATTTCAAGAAGCCATGAAGACATATTCATTGACTGCATATCGCCAAACTTCGAGTTTTCTTCAAAATCACACTCTATTAGTTCTTGTATCCTGTTAAAAGTAACTAAACGACAATCTTCATAAGCCACGAGACCTTCCAACTTAAAAAAATGGTACGCATCTTTCGTAGCATCAGAAAGAGTTGTATCATCAGTACAATAAATTTTCACATCGACTAATCGTTTCTGAATAGGATGCAAACAATAAACTTTCAAACGAAACATTTCGTTCTGCCTTTCTTTAGCGACCCTGTCAAACTCCTCCTTTTGTCTCATTTTTCGCAACAACTTTCTCAAGTGAGGCGGAAATTCTGCCACTGTCATTGCTTTGCAATTCCTCTCTTTATCTATCTGCCTGTACATGAGCATATAAGCATTTGTACTAGAACTGTAGGCGCCAGAATAATAACCGCGACTTGGACCACCACCGTAAGTTTTCTTTATATCATCTTCGGTAATGGGACTGACCATCTGATCGTTAAAACAATACCATTTGTTTTTTTTGAAGTCTTTTATGTAAGCGTAGTAATGTCCCCCTGATGCACTGCCTGAATGAATCATTATGCTGAAGAGTTCGTAGATATAGGGACCTTTCACCTCGGGATTACATGCCTTTCCAATTTCTTGATTGTTACCCCCTGAACTTACATCTATACCTTTAAAAGGAGGAAGTTTACAAAATAAGTGCATGAGAAAATAAAATTACAAGTTAAATAGAATAAATTGATTTTTTCCAATATTCTGTAATTTTTTGAAGTCTTAAAATATTTTTAATTTACCTTCATCTTCTTCTTGACAGTTATTATCTGGGCCATTTACTGTACACGAAACATCAGTCCCATGACAACTATCATCATCAAGGGCGGAACCCGAGTCCGTCGTACTGCTATCGTCGCATTTGACTATCGTTTCTTTTTCTTCCATTGCTTCGCCATTATCACACAAGCTATCCAAATCCGAATTGGCTATAAACGAATTCAGGTTCAATATTTCTTTGAAAACGACCCTGAAAATAGGATAACAAACAAAATCATCGGAAATTTATTTTCTAAAAAATATTAAAATGAAAAAAAGAACAGTGTTCTACAAAACTACAAAGCAGTAAATAGAATATTTAGCAAAGTAACATCATTGTTTTTAAGTGTGTTGTATTCTTACTTATCATTCAGCTTTATCCTGTGCATAGTGGAATAATCAAAGTCGAATCTCTTTAGATGCAAAGTCAACAGATATGGAAATTTTGTGAATTTAAATCCCTTATGCGCGTCACACTTCTTGTTGCACTTTTCGCAAAAGTACTGATTGTTGCCGTCAAGAGTTTCTGGCTGAACAAAAGCTCTTAACGCCTCTTCAACACTGTTATAAGCCACATTGCTGCCGAATGGGCGCAAAGGCAACGGTACGTCGAGAAAAGTATCTTCTCGAGATTTCTCTGTTCCGCAATCAAGACATTTGACATAGTCCAACATTTTTCCCTCGTAGAGGGCGTTTATAAGATTCGCCTGTTCCGTGTCTTTAAACTTTTGCTCGAGAGCATCGAACATGACACGACACAGCTCCTGTATGTCGTGTTGCTGCCATGCTTCGCTAAGATCCCAACCGAAACTCTTTGTTAACTCTGTTGTCTCTACAGCAGACTTACTAGATGTCTACAAAAAAAGAACTATTTACTTATTATTATTACATACAATAAAAAATATGTGAATATTTTACAAAACGGTGAACAATTATAAATAGTAAGTTCCTTACCTGTAAATTCAGGAACAATTTTTGCAGTTGAAATGGTATAGATGTGGCAGTGTTTTGCCCGTCGAATTCCCAATTGTAAAGGGCATTTCGAAACTCAGGGGTCATGTATAAGGCCTGAAGTAAACTATTCAAGTAGCAAGTCATCGCTTGATTAACAAGACCGACGTATTTAGATGACGAACTGGAAGATGAAGACGAAGAGGTCGACGAATGTGATGATTCAGCAGTCGTAGAAATTGCAGGTAACCTCTTATTACTTGAAGACCACATTATGGCTGGTGGTTGCTGATCGATAGAACCTCCTGGTAATTCGCCCATAGTAGAATTATTTACAGAAACATCCAAGCTACACTTTTTTTCTCTTATAATCAAGGTGTTACAAATATTCTTCTCAAATACGACGCCCACATCAGTTAACTGGCTGTCTGTGTAATTATTTAAAACGATCTGTAAATGAAATATATAAAAATACACGTTTTTAATCATAAATAACTTTATTTACCACTTCACCATTCTTATTTTTTAACAGCAATTCAAACTCATCGGGTTTGTAGCCAAACTTCTGGCTCACATCTTCGATAACTTTGGAGACCAACTTTGAAGGTGTTATATAAAAAGTATCCTGGTCTGTTCCTGTTGATGTTCCTATGGTGTCGTGAATTAGTGCCGTAATATTGCCGTCACAGGAAAGAGCCTCCATGTGCTATGAATAAAGAGAAATATGTAACTAATTTCAACATACATTATAAATAAGTAATTTTTTCGACAAAAACAAAGTTTAATATGAAATAAATTTTATAATTTCACTTTAGAATAAACA